TCTTTCCCTCATCTACACAAATTACACATTTGTGTTAGCTGCTTTTATGTTTTTCCTTTAGGAGGATAGCAATGGCTATCCAAGAAGAAAGCAGACAGTCTAAAGCTGTTGCAACAGTGAGCAGGGGTACTGACGAGCCCAGCTCTGCATTTGGGGCAACCTGAGCATCACTTTTAAGTTTGCCTCTGTTCATGAACCATAGAATCAACAAACTCTCTCTCAAAGTTACTGCCTGGGAGGAGGAGAGTCTGTCATGCAAGAACAGGCACATGGTTCATCTGCTTCCCTTTGGCTCTAAGAATTGCTTTACTGTGGCTGTAAAATCCCAGCCTGGGTTCTTTCACTTAGGACACCAAATTTCTATTCACCTGTTCACCGTCAGTGACTTAGGTACTTCTTAAACAGATGCAATTAAGAGAGCTATGAGAAAAATCAACCTCACCTCAAAAGCACATTCTGCTTGAGGCATTTCTTACTTAAATCCCCATCTCCATCTAACTGTGCTGCCTTTCCTGCTGTTTTGTTCCACTATGCATGGTCAGCGTGTCTTGCCTCTCCTTATTTTCTCCATGCTCAGTTTGCCTGGCAGGCAATTCTCATTTTATATCACAAGAATCACTTGTTAGCCTATAAACAAGAGCCTGTTAGCTGGCTTCCACTTTCTGATCCCCGCAGGAACTGGTGATCAGCATGGAAAGAACAAACACTTAAAACACCACTCGTGATGAAACGGAGTGCTCTTGCTTTCTGAGCAATACGGGACTGGCAGGAGATTACGGTAATGGCAAGGATACTGCCTGCTACATCAGCAGAGCAGTAAAGTTACTGCTGCTCCTTGACAGCGTGGAGCTCAGCACTGCAACGGGGGAGGGATGCCTTGAGGGATGCTGGAGTCAGGCTCCCCCAGACACTGGGTGCAACTGTAAGCTGTCAAAATACTAGCGGGGAAATAACGGGAGAAAAGCAATGGATTTCCAGGCACAAAGTCCTCTCCCTGCATGAAGAGAGGAGCTTGCTGTGATGTGCTGTGAATTTCCTTTCCAGATGCTCAGAGGAACTGTGCTGCCTTCTAGAGACTAAAGAGGTGAGTGAGGTTTGGGGCAGGCACGGGAATCCAGGGCATGCTCTTCCCCAGACCATCTGTCCACAGGTTGAGTATTAACCTAGTTGGTTTTGAGTCAGTGCTTTCTGCTGCATCTCCTTGACTTCCCAGGAAGTTTTGCTTCATGTGCTTAAAAATCAAATGTGATAATTTCTGAATTTTCTAATCCACCATCGACTCTATAATGACCACAGTTATAATGGTTAGAAATGCTCAATGCTACAGTCACTTTTCATTGATGTGCTTAGTAAAATCTGTCCTTTTCTTTCTCAGAATAATTCTTCAGCTCGCTCCCTCTTGAGGGAAAGAAAACCCCAGATCCTATTCTGTTTCACTGCACGGAAGGCAAATTCCCACAGTGCAATACCTTTTCATTTCCCCTCCCCCATCCGTCCTGCTTGTGAGCTGGGAATTTCAGGGATTCAGAGTT